GCATGAGCAGTGGGATGGCAGCCAAAAGAGTTGATTTGACCATTTTGAAGGTCCTTTTAACGAGTGGCTTACTGGATCTGGTAAACGAGTGACAAGTTTAACGAGGGATTTGACATGGACTTTGACGTGGAGGATGACCGTGCTTTAAACAAAAATCCCACAGGGGTCTTGACAGAATTACCCGGTGACTGACCCAACAAGCCAACTGTAACGTATGATCTTTAGCGTTCGCCAAATCCTTCTGCTGGCGGCTGAATTGTTGTCCTATGACCTCTAAACGACCCATGCTGTAGGAGATTGCGGTAGAAGCGAACGGGTTAGTTCAAGAAACAAGAGCTTTGATTGGTTGGCGAAGCTCGTAATCTCTTTGCTGTGCCGTTCTTCCATCCCCTGTAGAAGGAATACGACGAGCTGCGCCTTGCTATTAAGCTACTGTGGCGGATCGACTTCAGGGATTGTTAGGTGTCAAGAGGAAAAATCACCGAGTTGACAAGACGAGGCAATTTACCTTCGAGAGGGAGACAGCGAAAGCTACTATAAAGGTTGAAAAGTAGGGAGAAAAATGATGGTTTCACAAAAACTTATCAAGTCTTCAATTTGTTTTGTCAGATTTATGTTATCGAGATTAATGCCAAAACTGGCTGGTGCTAAGCCTATGAGTGTGACAACGAGAGATATTTAGTTACACCGCAACCGTGTACCACTGGCTCCAACAATTATTTTCAAGCACCTCTATACTATTTAAATCTTTATTAAGCTGAATATGCAAAGTAGTATAAAAGAACAATGAACCAATCATGTCAACTCTTTAATACATTATGACTCTATTTCATCGCTCCAGGTCTCAATTAGTGCATCCGGCCCCGGCTCCGGTTCCGATACCGGCCGGTCGATTGAAATTCCGGCGGGGTGGCTTCCATTCGCGACTCATTCCATCCCATTTCCCAACGAGGGGCACCAAGAATTTTCCAAGCATCAACAAGCAAAACAACAATGGCCACCGATTCGACACATACGCAATCGCAAGTCTACCTCTCCACAAGAGGTGGCGACTATGGTGTACGATCTATCCGTCAATACTCGAATTGACACTCTGCTGACCTCTGAAAGCTCTCCTTCGAGACCGTTGTCCTAAAGGGATTGGCTGCCGATGGCGGTCTTTTCCTCCCCCATGAGATTCCCGCTGCGACAGAATGGGTGCGTACGAGCCGATCAATGCACTTCTTGGCTGCGATCGAAAGCGACGAATGTCAGGATGACGATTAACGCGATACTAGCAAAGCTGGAAAGACCTCTCGTACCAGGAATTGGCCTTCCAGATCTTCAGCCTCTACATCTCCCGCAGCGAAATCCCCGCCGAAGACCTACAAGGCATCATCAACCGAAGCTACTCTACGTTCCGCGCCCAAGAAGTCACACCCCTCGTCCAGCTCAAGGACAATCTGCACCTCCTCGAACTCTTCCACGGCCCTAGCTACTCTTTCAAGGACTGCGCGCTGCAGTTCCTCGGCAACCTTTTCGAGTACCTCCTCGCGCGAAAGAATGAGGGCAAGGAGGGTAAGGACCGACATCACTTGACTGTTGTTGGTGCGACGAGTGGTGATGTGAGTCATGCTGTGGCCTGATTGCGGTAATATCCTGACGTGTGAATTAGACTGGATCCGCTGCTATTCATGGTTTGAGGGGTAAGAAGGATGTGTCAGTTACTATTCTGCATCCCAAGGGTCGTGTCAGCCCGATTCAGGAGCTTCAGATGACGACGTGCACTGATGCCAATGTGCACAACCTTGCCGTCACCGGTACCTTTGACGATTGTCAAGTGAGTACGCCTTTTGTACGTCCTTCGCGCCGCGCTAACGAATTGATAGGACATCGTCAAGGCCCTCTTTGGCGACCCCGAGACCAACGCCTCCCTCAAGCTCGGCGCCGTCAACTCCATCAACTTCTCCCGCATCCTAGCCCAGATTGTGTACTACTTCTACTCCTACTTCTCCCTCGCCAAGAAGTCCTCCACCTTCAAGGTCGGCGACAAGGTGCGCTTCGTCGTCCCCACCGGAAACTTTGGCGACATCCTCGCCGGCTACTTCGCCACTCGCATGGGTCTTCCCGTCGACAAGCTTGTTATCGCAACTAACGAGAACGATATCCTTGATCGATTCTGGAAGTCTGGAAAGTACGAGAAGCAGCCCGCCAAGGGCCCCGAGGCTCAGGGTGGTCTGGAGGTCGATGGTGTCAAGGCCCATGAGGAAGGCGTCAAGGAGACTCTTAGCCCTGCTATGGACATCTTGGTTTCGAGCAACTTTGAGCGTCTGCTTTGGTTCTTGGCTTATGAGTTTGCTGCTACTGTTGGTATGGATGTTGAGTTCAACCGCAAGCAAGCTGGTCAAGAAGTCGCCACTTGGCTCAAGGATCTCAAGGTCAAGGGCGGTTTCGGCCCCGTCTACGTGGACGTTCTCAACAGCGCCCGCAAGACATTTGAGAGCGAACGCGTCAGTGATCCCGAGACTCTCGAGACCATCAAGAGCATCTACGAGCAATTCAGCTACGTTCTCGACCCCCACTCCTCCATCGGTGTCACCGCCTCTCTCCGATCTGCCCAACGCGCCGAGGCCAACCTTCCTCACATTTCTCTGTGCACAGCTCACCCCGCCAAGTTCGCCGGTGCCGTTGAGCTGGCTCTCAAGGATGAGAAGGACTTTAACTTCCAGGAGAAGGTTCTCCCTGAGGAGTTTGTCGGCCTAGAGAAATTGCCTAAGCGAGTTTCTGATGTTTCGAATGATTGGAAGGCTGTGAGGGAGCTTGTTAAGGAGCAGGTTGAGAAAGAGCTTAGCGGACAGCGATGAACGTGAGATGAAAGGTGTTTGTTCTGGGTTTCGAATGCATAGTTAGAGGGTTAAAATGATCAAAAGACAAAGGACGAATTAGACATATTTTCTGTGTTTTTTCTGAGTTTCAGATGACTTGAATATGAAATGATGAAGTGAATGTTGCTGAGCCGGTTTCGGGGACTCATTAATGTCCGCCCTCAGCTTTCTTAAAAATACGCCTTGTTTGCCTTGTCGAGCCATTTTTTGGCGCTATTTATCTGCCAGAGTCTCACATGGCTAATTCTCAAGGGTCGGCTGGGGCAAGTGAAGTGCCAAGAGGGTCTAATGTTCAGCTGAAGACAACCCCTGCTTTCAGCAAATATGCCTCAGCAATTAGATAAATGCCCTACATCCTCGACCAAACTTTAAGACTTGTCAAATTATTCAATTATTAGCTCTTCATTGACAACAATGAGATCTCATTTGTTTACTTTGCCTCTGCTCTCAAGTCTAGCCAGCATATCAGCTGCAGCCAACTCCGAAAGTGGCTATCTAGCAACCGTCACTCTCGCCCCAACAGCCTCAGGAGCCGAAGCCTTTGACCTTGAAGAAAAGCGTGCCGAATGTTTTCAAGCTTGCTACAAGACGTATGGAAACTACAAGTCTTGTACCAGAGAAGGTGTTGTTCAGTGCTGGTGCAATGACTCTGTTGATTGGGTTGAGAGAGAGGAGGATTGCGTTTGGGATATCTGTGGTCCATCTGCTTATAACCGTGAGTTTCAATCCATGGATACTTTGTAGAATAGAGAGCTGACCTTGTGCTAGTCTATGGGGATGTTTTGAGTAGGGTTTGTGAGACTGTTACGGCTTCTGCTAGCCAGGCTATTGACACTGGATCAACGGTCAGTTCACATAGAAACATGCTTGGAAATAGACTGCTAATATGGAATAGTCTTCTGATGAGAAGGTCACTTCAACTTTGGCAGAGACCACGAGCAGAAGCACAGCCGAAATCACAAGCAAAGATGAAACTAGTCAAGCTCAAACAACAAAGACCTCAACTTCTGGTAGTGTTTCCACAGCAGCTACTAGTGAAACATCAGCAGCAACTACGAGTGCAGAACCAAATAGTTCTTGGAAAATGGGTTCATCGTTGGGTGTTTCGGCTATCCTTGCTATTGGTGCAGTCTATCTTGCCGGAATGGCGTTTTAAGGTTGCAGTAGTTTGCCAGAGAAGTAAATATAGTAGATAATAACATATTGTATCTACTTGAAATTTCAATTATCATCTCAGGAGTCCTTGGGGAGTTTTCAAAGTTCCGACGATAACCCAGGATGCTGATATTGACTAGACTAAAGGTTTACTAAAGATATACCACAAATATTCTAATCACTTGTTATAGAGGCCTTGCGCTTTATTACTTCCTAGGGATTATTCATCTGAATTCAAAGGCCTGTGTCAACGAGATCATAGTCAGTGTTGCTGCTCTTCATCGGTTAGCTCCCAACAGGCTCCTACGTCACTACAAACCCAAGTTCAAAAGCCCAAGACTAGCCTTGTTTTAGAGCTTGATAAAGTCGGAGACCCTTATCATTCACCGATATCAAATTGTCTAATCTATACCGAGGATCAGATATCGAGTCGTGACACTGCGTCATCGCTCCACAATATCCCCAGGAACATGGATGGGTGGGTGTGGGGCTCCAGAACCTTTTGGGTATATCAAATAGTTCCCTGGTAAATGATCGTCACTGAGCTGAAGGAATGAGGCCGAGATCTACATGTCAGTAAACGAATTTGAAACCACCAAGGGTCCTATATTTGTTTCCTTTATCAGGCTTAGTTTCTGCGGCAAATTCTTTGGATCTTATTAAGGTCCCCTTGGCGGAGGCCCTTGGAAATCTTTATTTATCTATGCAAACTGATATTACTAGATCAACCATTCAAGAATTCTGTGAATCATGATAGAAACATGGCAGATTATATTGGGCGGCGCTACTCTCTCTGGGTACCTGCTGGCCTCGCTACACCAAGATAACCAGAACTCAATGTTTTTGCTTGGCTTCTTAGGGATATTGTGCCTAGAGACAGCCATATGGTGCTTTTATAGGATTATAATACGCCCTCGATTTATATCACCGCTTCGCCATATTCCGACGCCCAGGGGCAATCACTGGCTTTGGGGTCATGGAATGAAGCTGTATCGAGAGCCGTACTGCTCACCAGTGAGAGAATGGTAAGTAGACCTGCACCTGAGTCCCTGAATATTACCTCACAAGTCTGGGGAACAGGAACGAAACAGTCCTGAACAACGGCTTCTTACGATATCTCGGCTTCTTCAACGCTGAGAGAATCGTTCTCACATCTCCCGACGCCCTTCACGAAGTTCTAGTCACCCAGAACTACTCGTTCCCAAAGCCTGCTAGCTTGAGAGAAACGGCAGGGAGATTCTTAGGAATAGGGCTTATCCTTTCTGAAGGAGATGCCCATAAGCTGCAGAGACGGAGCATGAATCCTGCTTTTGCACCCAAGAACATCAAAGCTCTGTATCCTCTTTTCTGGGATAAGACGAGAGAAATGGTCGAGAGAATCACAGCGGATAGACTTGAGTCGGTGGAGGTGGTAGAGTGGGCATCGAGGATTACTCTCGATCTCATCGGTGTAGCAGGCCTGGGAAGGGACTTTGGGGCCATCCAAAATGCGAAGAGCGAGATGGTGAAGACTTATGATGTCGTGTTTCAACCATCAGCTCAAGCTCGCATGCTGCACCTTATCGAAAGTTTGGTTCCAGCCTGGGTCCTCACAGCTTTACCTATCAAACTCAACTCAGATATGAGCCAGGCAGCCCGATCAATACGCGAGACGTGCAGAGACACAATATCTTCGAAGCAGAAGAAGCTGAAGGAGAAGAAATTGGATGATATGGATATCATCTCTGCGGCGATACGGACTGGGATGTTCACTGAGGATGGACTGATTGATCAAGCAATGACATTGCTTGCGGCTGGTAAGTCTTCTCTTCAGCATTTCTACCACGACTAACAGTTGCAGGCCATGACACAACAGGAGCGGCATTTACTTGGGGCGTCTACCTCCTCGCCAAACACCCAGAAGTCCAAGACCGACTCCACCACGAAATCCGCCAACGCCTCCCTCCCCTAACCCAAGCAAAAGAAACCCCAATATCTAGCGTTAACATCGACTCAATGCCCTATCTCCAAGCAGTCTGCAGTGAAATCCTGCGCTTCTATGCCCCCGTCCCGCAAACTCTCCGCGAAGCAGCCCACGACACCACCATTCTCGATCAATTTATACCAAAAGGCACACGCATCGTCATAGCACCATGGGCCACGAACCGGTGTGCTAAGCTCTGGGGTAATGATGCACATTTGTTTAAGCCGGATAGATGGCTGGGTGAGAGTGCACATGGAGGTGCAGAGAGTAAATATGGGTTTTTGTCGTTTTTGCAGGGGCCCAGGGCGTGTATTGGACAGGGGTTTGCGAGGGCTGAGTTGGCGTGTTTGATGGCAGGTTGGGTTGGGAGCTTTGAGTTTGAGTTAAAGGATAGGAGATTGATGGATGAGATGGTTGTTGATGTTAAGGGCGGTCTTACGGCGAGACCGGCTGGCGGGTTACATGTGAAGATTAAAAGATTAGAAGAGTGGTAGAAGGACTTCGACATATAGATCAGCAACAGAATTTATGACATATTTATGGAATGCGTTAAGTTGTATAACTATCCGCTACTCTACAGCTTGGCTCTCTTCTCACCAGCGATATCCCCCAACCACTCCCCCACAAACCCAACACAATCATCCATCCTCTCATAAACAACCTGATGCGTCCCCTCAACCCACTTAACATCAGCCCTCCCCTTCAACTTCTTAACATCAGCCTCAAACATCTTCGCCGGCACAGCAAAAGGCCTCTTGGGCATGATAGCAAGCAACGGAACGCTTATATCCTTGAACCGATCATAACACTCAGCAGGAGTTTGCTTGTCGTACCATAAAGCCCAATCCAAACGAGGGTGAGCGATGAGTTTGACGCCTCCCTTTTCGTCCTGGACGACACCGTGCTGGGTGAACATTCGCATAGCGCGTTCGTCCCAGTTCTTTGTACGTTTAGTCTCGCAGAGTGCTTTCTCGACAGCGTTGCGATCGGGGAAGTTCTGCTTGAGACCAAGACAGAAGATATCTTTGGGGAGCTTTGTCATAGCTTCGTTGATCTTTCCGGCGGGAATCATAGCTGGGTCGACGACCATGAGGCTGCTGAAGATGTTTGGTGCGTGGACGGAAGCGAGGATAGCGGCTTGGGCGCCGAGGCTGTGAGCAAAGACGTGAAGATTCTGTCGTGTAGGCTGCTGAGCTCGAGCTGTTGGCTTGTGCAGTTCAAGGTACTTCGGTAGCTCTCCTCCGGGTTTCACAGGTAGATAAGCTGTAAGGAAGAGCAGTAAATCTCGAACGATGTCTTTCTCATTGGCGTACAAGTATCCCATGGAATTAGCCTTGGCCGTCTGTCCGCTAAGAGGCATATCTACCGCCCAGATCTCTTCAACTTTGACACCAGACTTGCGCAGTCGAGGTAGAAGGTCTTCGAGCATAGGCTCAAACATCTCTTTGGGAACTCCCATGCCTGTAAGCGTGAGAAGAGTTATGCCCTGTTCAGACTTGTTGGCTTGGTCCCGTGCGATGTAGCGCTTGGCAACCAGTTTGGGAGGCGGGACGTTGGATGTCTTGCTCTGCTCTGAGTCGGAGTACAGCTTAAATTCACTGCTGTTGGCTTTCTTGCTTACGGGATCATATGGGATGTTGTATGCCTCATCGTTGGGAATGCTGGACGGGTCGTCGTTGAACTTGGCTGGTGGCCACGCAGCAGTCTCGTCACGATCATCTGTTCCTCGAAATATATGCGCAGATGCCCGCCATTGGGACTCCTCGGACAGATTCGCCAACTCGTTTGTGGCATTGTTGTCGGTGGGTAAGACAAGCGGACGGAGCAATGTCCGCTCATACGTCGTCGTTAGATCGAAGCTCATGGTTATTGATTTCTTTTCCATTCAAATCCTCGAAAAGACAGTTACAAAAGAATGTAAATTAAATAGAGGAAAGAAAGCAGTTCAGCTCATTGCAGCTGTATTTCGATCAACTCATCCGAGGCTGATCTATTTCCGAATTGGGCAATTATACAGAGCATCCATGCTGCGGTGCCGTGCATCCGCTTCCTACGGGGCTATTTGAAGCTAATTCTGTCAATCAAGACACTTGACATCATTGACATCATATCAAGGAACTCGGTGAAGATCAGGGTCGAGGAATGAAAATCAAGTGGAATACTTCCGCTCTCATTCCGTGGCTTGCAGCATGCCTGAGAGACTTCGGCTCAGAGATGTTGTACTAGCCCTAAAAGTGACAGTTGTAGTTACTTGCTCGTTTATTAAGGACTACGTGAGCTACGCTTTTATATGTTGTCGTGAAAGCCTCTGTAGGGATGTATCGGTCTCATCTTAATTGTCATCCGAGATTGTTAAGATAACAAAGATCCCGACTGATCGATTTTGGTTAAACTTATTGTATTCAAGCATATATAACTAAATCCCCTTGACGCCCTACTCCCAGAAGTGCTTCTTCAACTTTCCGTCCCCCTAGTGTCAATCTGTCCAAGTCTGACACTCTCATCATGTTCCATCCTTACAATCACCCTTCCAGCCTCCTTCTGCAAATCATCCAAATCCGTCTCTTGCGTATGACCCACCACATTAGGACCGTAAAACAACAATGGAAGAATCGAAGTCTTCCACACTGGCATTCCTGGGTTAGTAAACCCTTGGACAATGGCAACTATCAACAAGAGCATCGTAATGGCCATCAGACCAGCCGGCAACAGCACCCACCGCCAGTCAAACACAGTACAAATAGCCATCTCTGTAGCTTGACCTGTAGCCTTGTCATTGCCTTCTAGGAAATATGTAGTTTGACCTGTAGCCTTGCCATTGTCTTCTAGGGAACGTTCTCTTCTAGCCTTAATACCCTGCTTGCGGAAGTTGTTTGTTATGGCGGTTGCGAACAAATCAAAAGAAGCATCGAGACCTTCGAATGTTGAGTTGTATAGTGGAGGTAGCCACCATTGGTCACCACAATTAAGCTGGTCTTTTGCGCCGCCATCAACATTGGCCAAGCAGACGGTGTTGAAGAGGGTGTGCTCAATGAAGCGTCTTAGTGCTTGCCGGTATTGAAAGGTGAGTGTGTAGACACATTGATTCGGGACTGTATAGTTGGTGCCGTCGACCGGGACAATTGTTTCAGAGTCGGAGGGATCCCTGGTTTGGGAAAAGTTGGCAAGTTTGTATTCCTTGCCATCGATCAGACAGGGCGTTTGCACGCCAACACGGTTTCCTGCCTCGTCATTGGCAGCCCTGTTGTAATCGATGGGCTGCTCGTCAACCACCTTCTCCATAAGCGATCCCCTCTCCACCTTGCCGTAGTATTTCTTGATGCAAGGGTAGAGGGCGCATGAAGTTGCCATGGCATTCTGATAGCGCAAGGACACTGGGACTTTTGAGGTCAGCCTATCCTCGGGGCACGTTGCGTTCGTGCTGGAAGTGACGTTGCAGCCCTTTTGCGTGAAGCTTAGGGTCGTGATGTTTGAGATGGCGACTTTGGCCAACTGGGCAAACCGAGAGTTGGGTGTGTCGAGCGCCCATTCTAAATCTCCAGACATGGCCATGACCTGGCTTCTGATGACGGCCTGAAGCCACTGTGTATTTGGCAGACTGTAATTGTAGGTCTTGCCGGCGTAGCCCTCGTCTCCATCACTGTTATTCTTGCTGATTTTCAATTCGATGAACTCCGTTGTGTCAATGCAGGCACTGCACATGGCAATAGAGGAATGAGTTATTCCTTGCGAGTTGGAAGGAAATGTACAGTTTCCAGTAGAGCAAGTTGCAGCTACGTCTATATCCTTGCCCGTAGGGTTGACAAGGCCATTCATCATGGCGACTTTCATGTCGCCTGAAAGCTCATTGCTGGCGGCACCTATTCGAAACCTTGATCTGTCGGCAGGGACATAGTGAGAGATTGGTAGAGATGCCTGTCCTTGGGCTGTTCTTGGGCAAGGAACAGTACTGACGGACTGCTGAGCGAAAGGAGTGATTGCAGGAGATATGATAATGACAAGAGCGGCGATAATGCTCGTGAGCCGTGGAGGAACAGTCCAGAATAGCTTCATCGCTCCAAGGATGCCGCGACTAGCATTATTGAAATGATGAAGATCGGAGACAGGACGGGGCTTCTGCAAAGCATTCCATCCCATCTGACCGATGAGCTCAGCAACGACAAGTAACATCGAAGCTCTCATAAAGGTGCTTAGAATAGCAATAATTGTGTTGAGGCTGATGTCGTATGGCCATGGTTTCAAGACTCTGTTGTTGTTCTGTGCTGGGATAACGATCGTCGCTATCAGCAAGCCCAGAGCCAACAATAACGATAGAGTCTCCCATAGCCAGGAACGAATAGGGCCAGGTTTTGCTTTTCGTGGAGAGACATCTTTGGTTGTGATACTGATGTCGTGGTGTTTGTGTTGTTGTTGCCTCGAAAAGGTCTCCATAATGAATGTTGAGTATGGTATGATGAACGCCACAGAAAGCACAGAGCAGCTTCCCTCTTTATCATTGACTCGAAGCGCTTTTCGAGTCCTAAGAATGCCTTGCCTTCTGCAGCCGAGAGACGTGGTACTTGGCTCGTTAGGAGACCAGTTAGTGCTAACCGCCAGAAATGGCGGGTGGCACTAACAAAATCTCAGGGCGGTTCTGGCCGCTCCTTGTACCCAATTGCAGGGTCTATGCTGTAGATGAAACGCACACAACCAACATGCATAGAGCACAGCCAATAGCACGCGTCAATTTCGCGCTGAGACACATTTTAATGGATCATCGCAGAATCCTTTTATTAGATCATGTTATGATCGTCAATTTATTCTGGAACCATTGAAAAGTTGTCAGAAATAACTGTAGCTTTGTCAATTCTTTTGTAGTGAGTGAATAGAAGTGTTGGCCAGCATAGAATACCGTACACTTGCTATGAAATTTCGCATGACCCTATCATAGGAAAGGACCTTAGTTGGGTCCAGAGACAATAGAATGGATGTAATGAAAATTCTAGATCTCGATCATTCACTGCCACCTCCAACGCAGGCGGTTAAATTTAAGCGCTTGGTTAACCTCCAGCCTCCGGAAGTGCTATTCGCGTCAACAGCTCCAATAGGAATGTCTGTGTATATTCGCTTAGGATTGAGACAGGGTATCAAAGGAAAAGCCAAGACGTTTACAGAGTATTAGTTATCGTTGGATCTTGATCCTTGAAGCTTGGTATTGGTAGCTTGGCCCAACACTTGACTGGATTGATTTTGCCTACCCTTTCACATGTGTTTATGGGACTTATTATTTCAAATGATACTTCAGTAAAGGCTTGTATTGATAAAAGGTTGTCATAGAATGAAGAAACTATTGACACTCATAACCCCGGCAACTCATTCATGCACCACGAACTTCGTGTACCTTGGCGTAGTTTATTTCTGTTCAGACTTGTCAGACATCATAATATTCAAGACTCTTTCAGTACTTACGCCGCAGTTCTTGCATGAGCAGCTCTGGCCACACGAGCAGGAGCTAGCTCCACTGCAGCCGCACGTAGATCCGCAATCGCAGGCCATGATGACAGACGTAAAGTTATAAGTTGTATGTAATAAGATATTGATTTGAGAGATTCGAATATGGAGAGTTCTGAAGGCTCAAGTCATGAACTTGGCTACCCAAGGGCTTTATATACCCCAACCCCCGCATCTAAATCCGGCAACGAGCCACATGTGATGGATATGAGCATGATCATGACGCAGTTGTGACTAGATTCTAGTTAGAAGGAAGTTCTTCGGGCCGTCGGTCATTGTTTGCTCTAGTGGGGATATGCTTTGGCCTTTGCCAAACTTGGATATACGCCGAGTCCCGAGCTGGTAGTAGCAGCCTATCATGCTTTGGGTATATGACGTTGGATAATGTCACGTAGGCTTACTAACTACACAATTGCCGTGTAAATGATATGACATCAGTTGCTGAGAAGAAGAATTGAGCAAGTCAAAGCTGTCACAACATAGAGTTGTCAGCTTGCAAAAGGCTTCGGCAACCTGGCCGTAGATGTCAATAAGTGAAATTTATTCCGTAGAATATGTAGCCAACTTCAGCCTATAAGTGACAAGGAACTACATCACAGTCGTGGAATGGTCCGCTCTCCATCAGTTATCCTTCAACTTATCCAGCGCACCCTTCAGCTTGGCCCCTGTCTCGGTGGACATTCTTTCAAATGCCTCTATTAACAGGAAGAGAGTAAACAATCAGAGATATCCAAAGAACTATGCATCGGGCACTAACCGTCTGGTGATCCGTTCAAGGTAATCGGGTACATATGCCCGGAGAGCCAAAGTGTTGCAGGACTAACACCGTTCGAAGAGTGGCCAAGGTTCTGAGGAATACCGACTCGAAGGAATAGTAAGTTTTCTGCCAAATTTTCAGAGATAAAAATCATATGACGCTTACTGACTATACTTACGATGTGAAAAGTGGAAGGATTCGTGATTAAATTGAAGTGAATGGGTTCATAGTCATGCAAGAGATTTGGCGCGGTGGAGCGGACAATTGCAGATCTTATTTCGTGCCCGACTCTGGGGTCAATGTAAATGTAGCTTTCACCTGCGTTACCAATCTTAATATCGATCTTATATGAGATATGTTGACCCTTTGAATCGACATTGCTGAATGTCGCGACGGCGCTGTGAAATAACCGCCGACGCCAAAGCTTTAGGGTAGGCCCGGCTCTCCGGAGCGATGGGCAGTGTGCGTGAGAGCATCGTTTATAAAAACGGACCCTGTTGCGTCCGTGTCGACGGAGGTAGTCAGGAAGAAGGGCACGAATTGCTGTTGATTAAGATTGGTCGCGAATCATGTCAGGTGAAATCGTAGCCTGGGCGTTGGTCCAGTCACGAACAAGGCGGGACAGGGAAGACGAAAGTGGCCAGGGCAATCAGCTCCAATGAGCTATGCAAATGTATTACTCAAGCTTCAATTCATTATCATGTTTCCTGCTCATCAAGCGATTGCAACCTAGGCTGTAATTCTTCAAAATTCGACTTGCCCTCCTCATTCGGGTATGCCTCAAACACCATCCTCCTCATAAGCCGACGCGGTGCTCTCCGACCAGTAAACAACTCAAACTGAGCAAAGCCCTGCTCTGGCAACATATCAAGACCATCCATACTTACCCAACCGCGATGCGACTCTGCTCTGAACTGAGCTAGGAACGGTGTATCTAATGTCTTGTACCCCAGCTCAATTGCGACACCGCCAGTTCGACTTCCCAGCCACTCATTGGGGAGGGTAAGGTCGGGTGCCGGGACGTTGCCGATGCGGTGGGTTGGGATACAAGAGACAATGACGGTGGGTAGGCGGAATTCTGTTGGCCAGGCATCTTCTATTGACTCGATGACGTGGAAGCGAGAATGCTCGCTACCAGCGCTCAGTAGACCATGGTCCTTCCTCTCAAGGACCTGTGTAAAGTGCGACACCATTTTTTCGGCGTTCTTTGGTGTGCGATTACAGATGACAATGTTCTTGATACCGACTTGAAGCATCGCGTAGACCGTCGCTCTAGCCATTCCACCTGCTCCAATGACCAGACCACAGGTGCTGGACACGACCGCGTTGGCGGGAGAGAGGCCGCGGCGAATGCACGCACGAATGCCAATCCAGTCGGTGTTTTCACCATATAGAGCCTTAATGGGACCAGAGCGATTGACACTATCGAAGAAAGCCGCCCCAGTTGGTATCGTCCCATCTTCATTTAAAAACCGGATGGGAATCAGCGTGTTGACAGCACCAATTGCGCGGGCGTGTTTGCTCAATGAATGGGTCAAGGTAATGATCTCAACCTTGAAGGGGAGGCCAATTGAGCCTCCACCGAATTCTGGGTCCTCGATTAAATGCTTGATTCCTCGAAGCGACGCGCAAGACACTGGCTCATAGGTATGAGGCAATCCGCATGCCTTTAATGCTGATTTGTGCATCGCAGGGGACAAACTATAGCTCACGTTGGCGCCAAAGACGTAGAGCTTCATCTGGTCGTATATAAAAGACGAGAAAAGAGCTTCTGTCGCGCCGACCGTGGTGATGGATGGTGTTATTGGGGGCCTGGGATTCACCCGCTCCAGCGAATCTGGTCGGACAACAGTAAGAACACGATTGAAAGCTTGGGAATTCCGACCAAGAGGGCCAGAATTGTAAGATATAAGTGGGATCTTGGGCCCCTGTAAAGCTGCCACTGATGTCTTGAGGTGGTGAATGCGGAAATTGTCTTCGATGGTAACTGCCGGTCGAATCAATCTAGCAAGATGACATCCTAGATTGTTGGCCTTCTTATACCACGACATCCATATTGGGGATTCCCATGAGGGAGGATCTGTAGTGATGAAGCAATTACCTATCATCTTTGTTCTCTTTCGAATAGATAGTATACGTGAGATGTGGACATCTTCAAGCCGAAGATCGACTGTCATCATTTCTGGTGCGAGACGCACGGAATGATGAACGAGATCAAGGTAGACACGCAAGACTTCGTCGCTTGCTGTATAAGGTAGGAATAGATGCAAGATTATAGGTAAGATGGTGCTTCGCCTTACAATACCAACGCCTTTGGTAATGTTGGCAAGTAGTTTTCCGCTGGCTTCGGACGTCAGCGTGCCTTGTTCGGCATGTTCAGCCAGATCATGTACAACTATTTGTACAACATCTGCACCGATGACATGGTCTTCGACATCAACAGAGTCTTTAATAACATCTGAAAGGGGAATGGAGGTGGCATAGGTAAAGTTGCGCTCCTCTGCAGGTATCCTCGATAATGGGAATGCAGAGTCTGTGAAGGGTATTGTGCCAGCGGGGTAAACAAGAGATAGAAACTTCAGGAAGTGTCGCTCAACATGTTTCAACGTCAAATATGGAGCGGGCGATCTTTGTGTCAATGACTCCCGAGAAAGCGACGACTTGGAAGCCTTCTCTGTAACATTGAAGAACTCAAAGTTTGTGCAAGACCTGAAGATGGCATTGCTAACATCGAGCAAGCTCTGGACCTTGGAACCGTCGCGGATCTTGAGATGATTTTTAATGGCATCGAAATCACGGACAATGTGAATAACAGGGTTGGTAGCCGCAAACTCTCGGAGGAGACTCTGCACGCGACTCTCCATCCAGGAACAAACAAGGATACAGCCAGTCGAATGTCGCTGCAAAATACTTTGCAAGACCTTGGCTTGCTGCTTGTAACACTCTGAAGACCCATGTTCGGACTTATAAGCGGCACTCGACAGGCCCATGGATCTCTGGAAAGCTGGCTCCAGATCAATGACTTTGCGGTCCATTGCCGAGGATGCCATTATAGCTAATGTCGACTTTCCAGCTCCGCGCATACCAACAAGTATCATTGACGCGTCTGGACTGAAATCAGGGACCTGCCCAGTCAAGGGAGGAAAGGTTGGAGAAGGGGTTCGAGTAAGTCCATCGTGTTGGTCCGTATTTGACGGAGCCGCGGATTGAGAATTGGCTCTCGAATTGGCCCGAGAAGTAGCCCGCGACGGAGGTTGAGACTGGAGCACATCGCTCAGTTTAAAAGACTGCGATTGCGGTGTCGAATTATCGAGGTTATCGCGGGGAATTCCATGATTGTAGTGGACGGTCTTCGGTCGGCTGTGGCCGTTTGGTCGAAGCAAGGTATCCTCGTGGCCAAGAAAGGTCCCTAGGGACCTCTTGACGCCTGCCATTTCGTGCTGCATGTGTCCGGACTCTTTTGACGAGTGCTGTTTCAAGAAGGCGCCATAGTCACCAGGATATCGCAGTTGTTGAGGCTATAGAGAAGGATCTCTTTGTTGGGTAGGGGAGAATGGGTGATGTGGGCTTGTCGAGAAGCGCTGAGTCCGACTGTCAGTTGTGAAGTGGGTGGGCGATGGGCGAGGAAGCTCGGTAGATCCCCCACCAGACAATCCGGGGCAAGCGAGAGGCGATTGGTCGGGAAAGCGTTTATCCGACCCACTCCGAGGCCCTGCCCAATTACATCGGTGGTGATTCGGCCGTCGGAACTTGGAGGCTGGAACCTACAGACCGTCCCCAAGCAACACAGAATTATTCTAGGGCCCCAGATTCTCCCCGCATCACGTCTCATCGCATCGTATTGCTTTTGTCCGGCACTGTTGCTTTGAGATTTCGGCCATGGGAGACAGATCTGCATGACAATGGCACAGGAATCGCGTATCTGAGCTGAGCTTTATTGACATGGGACTCGTACACAATTCCACATCATCGTCATACTAGCAAGCATTGATCCCTCTTCACACTGCTGTTAGGCTCCTCTCCCCTCATCTCTCTTTTCATTTCGTCATGACTGCTGGCCTCGCGGCGCAGGCATATCATTCATTCTTTGGTCAACTACATCCAAGCAATGCCGCCTAGGAAACGCGAAAACGATGCGGATACTACCAGCGCTCCCGCGACCACAGCTCCCGCCAAACGCCAACGAGTCTCCCTTGCCTGTGATTCATGTCGCACTGCTAGAGAAAAGTGCGATGGCGCCCGTCCTCACTGTGGAACATGCACCGCGCAAAACAGGCCATGCTCATACACCCCTGCGTCCCGCAAGAGAGGTGTGCAGACGGGATACCTACGGACAATTGAGTTGTCACTGGCATGGCTCTTTGAACAGGTTCCTGGCTGTGAGGGAGCTCTTCATCGTCTGCTTACACAGAATGATGGAGCAGATGGTACCCGCATCCTCGCGACGAAGGACAAAGCTGGGCATCGCCTCTACCGACGATGGAGCAAGAGTCGGGTTCACAAAGACATTGGCAGGTTGCTGTCGGATGAGAAGACGCCCCAAAACGATACATCCGCAGACGACTCGGGAACTGAAGATAGCAGCCCGACTGGTGCACAATTGTTTGACGGCAAACCATCACCCGGACTATCGATACAAGGCGTCAATCCATCACAGACGAGCATCCCGGCGGCACCCTACAACTTCAACTCAGACCATTCATCATTACCTACCAAGCTGACATTACCTCCACAATGGAAAAGACTTGTCGACATCTACATGTCTTACACTCACAGCTGGTTCCCAATTATTGAACCAGGAATCATCACACGCACAGCTCTGATGTATCCCCCGGAGGGCCTTGCCATCGAAGCAAATCCCTCGTCGGCATTACACGCTCAGCTTTGGGCCGTTTTTGCTGTCTCTTCATTTCAAGATGCGGCTTCTTCCAACCCATCACGACACAACGGATTCTCTCCAAACGAAATTTACTCCATCGCGAAACGGCTAATACCATCCGACGACGAGACGTTCGAATTGGCCCATATCTCCTCACTCCTCCTTCACTCGCTAGTACTCATGGGCCAAAAGAAGACGATGACAGCATGGATCTTGATAGGCCGGGCTTCGCGCCTTGCTTTGCATTATCGCGCGACAGCATCTCACATGTTTCCGGTCAAGGAAGGCGACGCAGCTTCTCTGAACCACAACGAAGTCAGGGTACTGGCTGGAAGCTTTATCCTGGATTCTCTTGCTTCACTTAGTCTTGGTCAACCGCAGGTGACATCGGGAGTTCGATATAGTCTTCCTTCTGTTGTTATAGAACAAGCTCTGTGCTTGAACGAGCCATGGACTTCGATTTCGGGGTTCGGAAAGGCGGCGGATGATGGACAAGAAT